CAGCACCCCCTCCATGGCCGTGGGAGGTGCTTTTTTATATAAATGGCTAAGGGGTGGCTATCATGGCCAATTAGGAGGTGCATTGTGTTGCTTAGGTGGAGGGAAGAGGAGCTCTACAATTTGATTTGGCTGAGCTGGCCTCTAGGTTTGATTTGGGTGAATTTCCATGGGGGTGGCTCTCAGTTTTGAGCTTCTCCGGTGACTAGGCTGGTCGGCCATGGCAGGGGGAGATGGCTAGGTGCTCAGGGCATTCAGGAGAATCTGTCAAAGCAATTTAATGCAATGAGGTTTAGTTTTGGTAAGGATATCTTAAGCATGTGCATTTTTGGAAATAAGATCTCTTAATTTGGGGGACTTTTGGTCCATGGCTTAGTTTCGGAGGTTACATGGGTTTTGGCTCAGTCTTAGGGTCTAACCAATGGCTGAAGTGGAGTTAATTTGATTGCTTTAAGGTTGTTTGGTCATGTTTATTGCATGGGTTCAAGTGATCAAAGTTTGGGTTTGGGCTAGGTTAACCATGTCAATTGCCAATTGATTGATCAACATTGTGTAGATGATTGTTATGAAGATTTTTGGTGAAGGGTTGAAGTGATTTTGAGTTCAATTGGTAGGTCAATTAGAGGGATTTATGAAATTTGGTCAATTTGGGCATGTTAGGTTAGACATGGGTCTAGGTTGGGCTAGCCTTGGGCTAAGTCAAAATTAAATGGTTCAAATGATCAAGGGAGATGTTTTAAAGATTTTTCATGAAGGGATGGAGTAGAAATTTTGGGGTTAAGACCCTCAATTTGGTGAGATTTTGATACATGGCCAATTTGGGGCAAATTTGGGGTTTTTGGACTTATGTTGAAATAAAATGAATTTGAAATTTCACCAAGGCAAATTTAATGTTAATTTTGATATATGGGGATGTTATGAAGGTTTTTAAACACAAATTGTGGCAAATGGAGTAGGCCATGGATTCAATTTGGTAGAACCAAGTCATGGGGCCAAAATTGGGGTTTTGATCTAAATCAAATTGGGCTCAAAGAATGGGTCAATTGAGCTTGGATTTGGTTTTTCTTTTTCATATTGAAGGTGAATTTGAGTGTTGGATTGAAATTTGGAGAGATTGGGATCAAATTGATGGACATTTTGAGTGATTTGGTAAAGGGCAATTTGGGGGTTTTGGTCAAAGATGGAAAAATTGGCCAAATTGGGGCATGTGATAGTTGAGAAAAATGAAATTGGGAATATTTGGGAGGTTTTGGGAATTTTTGGGATTTTTGGAATTTTTTGCCAAAGAGGGGTATTTTGGTAATTTGAGGGAATTTAGAGGCAAAAGGCTAGATTGGGTGTCTTGGTAGAGTTGGAGTGCCAACCACCATCAATAAGCTATGAACCAATGGAAACCTCATTTTGTGTCCTCTATGTAGTGGTCTTAGCCAAAGCCTAGCAAAGGGCTAGTGGGTTTAGGGGACCACCTACAGGAGTCTCACAAAAGTATCAAGGGGCCA